CCTGGCAGTGTTCACAGCCAGGTTGGCTAAAGCCTTGAGCAACCTGCTCTGGTGGGAGGTGTCCCTGCCCAGGGCAGGGGTTGGGGCTGGATGATCTTTAAGCTCCATTCCAACCCCTTAACATTCTATCATTTTATAATTTCGGCCGCAGATCCTTCTGTTCAGTGCTGACTTTCTGGGTCAGGCTGGCAGCCAGCAGGAGATGTTTCATCCCAACTTTTGACACAGGAATAAATTTCCCACCCCCATGTCTCTATTCAGATATTATCCAAGAAGCTTCTAAGCAGAAGATCCAGAGAAACCAAGTACTGAAAGGGCTTTTATTGTGCCAGTTCTGCTTGACACAAAGGTTTGGTGTCTCATTAGCGTTGGCTTTGTTTACTGGGGATGAAATGGGGAGCAGGAGCTGCAGGGTGTCTGCAGCCTCCTGACCGAGCTGGGACTGGCACACGACATAACCCCGACGGGAATCGCTTTACCACCTCGTTATCTGCACACACTTCATTAGGAGACTCTAGAGACAACATTGCAGCTCCTGCCTCTGGGGCCTTTTCCTGCACAGGCATTAACGAGCTTTGGGAAGGGGGGGAATGCCTCCAAATCCTCCTCATTAAATCCAGGGCTGGAGGAGGGTTCCCCACGCACAGCTGGGAAATCGGAGCGGGGACTCCATCTGCTGCTGGCTGCGCTTTCCCAACGCTCCGGCAGGAGATGGGAGAGCAGGGGAGGAAGAGGAGCAGCATGGGGAGCTCTTTCCTACCAAGTCTGGGCACCTGGGAAGGATTTTTCCCTCTTTTTCCTGCTCCCTTGGTTGTGGCTGGCAATTCCCTGGGCGTTCCAAGGGATGTTCTTTACCAGCATAGGGAAGCATCAGATCCTTTGCCATCTGCATCTGCAGTTATACATCCTTATCCCTCCCTGGCAGTATAGCACCTTCGTTATCTTGAAAGGAAAACTAAGAAAGTCTGGGCACCTGGGAAGGATTTTTCCCTCTTTTTCCTGCTCCCTTGGTTGTGGCTGGCAATTCCCTGGGCGTTCCAAGGGATGTTCTTTACCAGCATAGGGAAGCATCAGATCCTTTGCCATCTGCATCTGCAGTTATACATCCTTATCCCTCCCTGGCAGTATAGCACCTTCGTTATCTTGAAAGGAAAACTAAGAAAAGGGAGATAGCAGCCT